TTGAATCCATTCCTTATACTCTGCCTATAAAAAAAAAAAGGAAGCCATAAAAGTACTAGCAGAAAACATGGGTAAATCTGTCCATAACCGGAAGAGAAGGAAACCTCTAACAATGACTCAAAATTGCTTGGATTGGTGGTTCAGTGGTAGAGTTCTTGTCTAATTATGACTCAAAATCAAGAAGCAATAAAGTGAAAAACAAGGTTAATACATTTGATTATATAGAAATGTTGAAGAAAAGCTTTTATGTAGCAAAAACTGTAAACAAATATTTGAAACATACACCAGACAAGTTGGTATCTAAATAGGTAAAGAACACAAAATAAATGGGGAGAGAAAAGAACAGATAATTTCCATCAAAAGAAATGCAAATGACTCTTAAATGTATGAAAAATGTTCACTCTTGCTCCTAATAGGAGAAATGCAATTAACTACATTGAGATCCCATTTCTTATGTCCAGACTGGGAAAAACACAAAAGTCTGACAACATACTCCACTCTGTTGGCAGAGCTGAGGGGAAACAGGCATCGTCATATGTTGCTGGGGATAACAGAAAATGGGACGATCTTTTAAAAAAAATTTTTTTTTAATGTTTATTTATTTTTGAGAGAGACAGAGACAGAATGTGAGTGCGTTAGGGGCAGAGAGAGAGGGAGATACAGAATTCAAAGCAGGCTCCAGGGTCCAAGCTGTCAGCACAGAGCCCGATGTGGCGCTTGAACTCACGAGCTGTGAGATCATGACCTGAGCTGAAGTCGGAAGCTCAACCAACTGAGACACCCAGGCGCCCTAGAAAATGGGACAATCTCTAATCAAAGGAATATGATGATACCTAGCAAAAGTCACATGCATATCCACTTTGACTCAATGATCCTACTTATAGAAGGCATTCCCACAGATCCATCAGGAAAATACAAAAAGATAAGCCCTTATTAATACCATAAAACTGGCAAAAACCCATAGGCCCTAATAGGGGATTTAAAACAACCATGGTGCCCCCACACAACTAAGGAGCGTGCAACTGTGAAATGAGGAATATTTCTGTGTTATAGGGCAAAAGGATCTCCAAAATACATTAAAATAAAATAAAAAAGCCACGAAGGAGGGAGATGCAAATGTTTACACATCTGTTTGTATTTTTCCCTTAAAAATGAAAGGATAAACTCTAAAAATAAAAGTTACCTACGGGAGAAGAAGAAAGTAAGTGAAGGGGACAGGATAGCAGCTCTCTGAATATACCTTGCTGCATCCACCTGAGCTGGACCTTATAAATATTTACATGTAAAAATATAAAATAAAATAAAGCAATTCCTAAATATCCAAAGTAAAATAAAACAAATTAATCAAACTGTATATCCAGGTGGTGGCATAACCACACAGAGGGGAACTCTTCCAAGGGACTTTAGAACACAGTAATGTGACTGCACATTCCTGACAGGTTATATATGCCCTACCCTGAGGACAAAAAGAACTATAACAATCAAACTTTTTCCAGCCATTACACTATGGGAACAATGGTGTCAGTATTGTCATTCTGTTGTGTGTCCTGTGAGATAAATCAAAGGAACAGCCATGTCGGGCTAGGGGTTTACTAAGAGACAGATGAGGTCAATGCCCTTGCAGCCCTGAAGTGGTTCTATCAATAGGATCTCAGAATGGACTTTACCGTTAAAAAAATGCATCCTTCTAACCCTGTCCACTGAAGAGACCTCAAAACAATGCACAACAAGCAGCTCTAGCACCCAGACTGTGGTCTCTAAACATCAGGGGTCCTTAGAGAAATGGCTGAAACCAGATCTAGGGCAGGAAATGCACAAAATGAACCTGGAACCCCTTGTCACACCAGAAGGCAAGGAAGACATCAAAGTTCTAGGGTCATGTGAAGGGGGCCCAGCAGTCAACCTGGATAAACCCCCACCAAGCACAGATAGACTGAAACGTACCATATGGGTCTGAATCCATGAAGCGTAATGATACTTTTTAAAGTGTCATTCTGGATGAGAAGGGATCACCTTCTTGTTCTGCCTGTCTTACACAATGTACCTGGGGGCGACCAAATACAAGAAGTTTTTCCTCACTGAGGCAATCTAGTTAAGGTATGAAGGAGGAATGGGCAGAAACAGAATGTTGCCATTTAGCAACCGCCCCCGCCCCCGCCATGATTTAAGGATCTACATCTCACTCATCAATAGCTACTGACATCACGGAGAGAAAAAAAGAAACTACACAACCGTATGGAAGTCCTACCGCGAAGCCTTTTCTCTCCCCAAAACAAGCAATAAAAAACACTTGAATCTGATAAAACCTGTCATCCTAATTACAGGCTGGCAGGAAACATGAAGGTCAGCCTGACATAGTAAACAATATAAGGGGTTACAATCATCAGAATGCAGGCCGTGGGATGCTATAGGTGAAATGAGCCAACCTCTTCAACAAAAAATTAAGGAAAAATCAAAAGGGAAGGGGAGGGGACCTTAAGAGGACTCACAGACCAAGAGAAGCTTAACACATCAGTCAACTGCAGTATACTGGCCTCTTGCAGAGTCTGATTCAATCAAGCTGAAAAATAAACATATACTTAAAACATAAATTTATGTAGATAGGTATTTACATGTTTCTCTGCATATTTGTAACCAACAGGAGAAATATGGCATGCCTTGATATTTGATGATATTAAAGAATCAAAAATTAATTTAAAGAATTAAAAATTTTTAGGTATGTAATGGTGTTGTGGCTTTCTTTCTTTTTTTAAATTTTTTAATGTTTATTTATTTTTGAGAGAGAGAGACAGAGTGTGAACAGGGGAGGGGCAGAGAGAGAGGAAGACACAGAACCCAAAGCAGAACAGAGCCTGACACGGAGCTCAAACTCATGAACAGTGAGTGAGATTATGACCTGATCATGTCCCGAAGTTGGACGCTTAACCAATTAAACCACCCAGGCGCCCCTCTTTTTTCCTTTTTAAAAAAAATTTTTTTTAATGTTTATTTATTTTTGAAAGAGAGAGAGAGAGAGAGACAGAGCATGAGTGGGGGAGGGGCAGAGAGAGAGGGAGTCACAGAATCCGAAGCAGGCTCCAGGCTCTGAGCTGTCAGCACAGAGCCCGACGCGGGGCTTGAACTCACGGACTGCGAGATCATGACCTGAGCCAAAGTCGGACGCTCAACCTACTGGGCCACCAGGCGCCCCTCTTTTTTCCTTTTTTAAGTGACTTAGAACTACATACTGAAAGGTTTATAGGTAAAGTGCTATGATGCCCAGGATGCTAGGATAATCGAGCAGAGGAAACGGTCAGGTGCATAAATCAAACAACTAGCAAGGAATGGGTACATTTGAGTTCACTATAATATTCTCTTTACTATATATATTTATGTAGGCTTTCCATAATACAATTTTTTTTCATTAAAATTGAAATTTTTGTTAAAGAAGAAGGTGGTTGGGATAAAGAATTTTTTCCCAGAAAGTAAAAATTTGAGCTATCAAGTCATGAAAAGCCATGGAGGAATCTTAAATGCATACTACTAAGCAAAAGAAACCAATGTGGAAAGGTAACATGCTGTATGACACTCTGGAAAGATCAGTGGTTGCCAGAGGCTGGGGGTGAGGGGATGGACAGGTGCAGTACAGACAATTTTAAAGACAATGAACATACTCTGCATGGCACCATAAAGATGGCTCCATTTGCCCAAACCAATAGAATGTACAACTCCAAGAGTGAACCCGAATGTAAACGTGGACTTTGGGTGATGTTAATGTGTCAGTGTAGATTCATCCATTATCGTAAGTATACCACTCTGGAGGGGGATGTGGATAGTGCAGGAGGATGTGCACGTATGGGGGCAGTGGGCATATGGGAACTCTGTACTCTCTGTTCAGTCTTGCTGTGAACCCCAAATTTCCTTAAAAAAATAAAATCCGTTGGGGTGCCTGGGTGGCTCGGTCGGCTAAGCGTCCGACTTTGGCTCAGGTCGTGATCTCACGGTTCGTGGGTTCGAGCCCCGCGTCGGGCTCTGTGCTGACAGCTTAGAACCTGGAGCCTGCTTCGGATTCTGTGTCTCCCTCTCTCTCTGCACCTCCCCCACTCGCACTCTCTCTGTGTCTGTCTCTCAAAAATGAATGTTAAAAAAAAATTTTTTTTAATAAAAAATTAAAAAAAAATAAAATCTGTTTAAAAACGTAAAAATCAGCCAATGTACGCTCACTAGCTCATGACCTCAACTTTTGTTGTTACCAGAAAATATGTTTGTGCCCATCACCCTGAAATGAGACACCTACACCCAAACTATGGTTAGCGAGTACCAGCGGTCAGGGGACCCGCCCTCCCCAGCACCTGTATGTCCCAGACGCATACTAATGCTGAAATGAGCCATCCACGGCAGAAAGAAAGTACAAGCCACCCATGCCATTAACCGTTATGAGTCTTAATTTCGATTAGGCAGCACAGAGAATTAGCAAGGCCATACAACAGAGCCCTTTCCAGGAGCTAGCTACAAGAAACTGTGGTGGAATCACACTACAGTCGATAAAACTGGGGACAGAGCACTGAGGTTTTCGCATCTGAAAATGCCTCCGAGAGAGCTCAACTCCTCTTTATAAAGGAAAGTAAAAACAATCCACTGACAAAGCCACACACGTGAGAAAATCGTGTAAGGCAGGCTTACAGACTCTTATTTGGTAGTTATTTACTTTGAGGGATTTTCTCCCCGGAGCCACCTGCAGGCTCCTCTTTGGCACGAAATAAGGCTGGCTTTCCTTTATGACGGGCCTCCGTTTATTCCATTAACCCTCCATTCACAAAACAATCTAAGGAAGCTGTAGCAAATGCTGGTTACGCGGTTCTGTTTGCATCTTGCCACATATCCTCAGTGTTGCAAACACCCTTTACGAGTGTAGTATCTATCGTCACAGCTAACCGCTCCCTCTCGGATCTCCACAAGGGCTCACGGAGATACGGCACAGGGAACGGACAGACGGGAGGTGAAGGTTGGCGGGGGCTCACCCAGTCCTCCGGGGCCTGCCAGGAGGAACTCCTGTCTCCCGATCCTCTTGACGATGGGTCGCTTCTCGTCGCTGCAGTAAGGAAACAGGTCCTGGGCGACGCCCGTGTTGTAATTCAGGATGATGTACTGGGTGGTCAGAGCCAGGCACAGGAAGTGGCCGTCCACAGCCACGGCCAGGGGCTGCTCCGGCGTCGACACCTCCCTGACGATCTGAACCCGGTCCTCGTACACCAGGAACACCTGGATGGTCCTGCGCTTGACCGAGATGATGCAGACTTCCACGCAGAACGGGTCTCCGCTCACAGGGTTCTCGTTCAAGGCCAATGCCACGGCCCCTTTGATGCGAGCCCCCGAGGGGACAGGCTCCAGGCTCATCATGTTGACCAGGGTGATGGAGTTGTCACAGAGCACCAGCAGCCTGTTGAGGGCCGAGGCCGCTCGCAGCTCACTCACTGGCTTCCTGAAGCCCAGGTGCCGGTGCAGCTGCTTGGTGGCAGAGAACGTGGCCGTCCCTGCGGGCTGCGCCCTCTCCTCCAGCAGGAAGTGGTAGACGACGCAGTCACTGGTGCCCACGTACAGGTTCTTGCCACAGCACTCCACGCATTCGATGTGCCCCTGCTCCTTGTCACCTACCAGCAGCTCCCGCTCCACGGCAGAGACCAACGTGAAGGCCTTGGTGCTCATCATGTCTGCTGGCCGACCTGCGGGGAGAGGGAAGGGAAGGTTAATTCAGGGTAACGAACAATAAGCAGAACCATGGCAGGTCACAGGGAATGTACCTGATTCCTCAGTTACGACCTCAGTGAAAGGAAACCATTCGACACTGATAAGAAACAGTGCAGAGAAGAAAAGCTCTCCTTCCTGGTCTCCTTCCACCAGGCAAATGGGAGAGCCCAGCAGGAGAGCACACGCGTGTGCTCCTAACTGAGGCCATCCTGCCCATTCTCAACCCAGCTGGGATTTACACGGAGTTTCCTCATTGTTCTTGGGGGATGAACCTGCAGGCGGAAGACAAGCACACGTATTCACCCGGAGACAACACGACAGATATGTTTTCGAAAAAGGCAAAAATGATCCTCATTAATCTTCCCCTGAGCTGCTCTGGCCCCTTTTTAGCATTTAAGGGAATGGTGGGACGCAACTATGCCATGTGGTTAAATCCTGCCCCTCGGATCTTGTCAGGAACACGGAGGCAGGGACCACACCTTGAACTCCTCTGGGTTCTTCCCAGCACCCTCTCTGGCTCCCCGAGGAAACGTGTTCATGCAGAGTGGTAAAGACGTGCCTCAAATCTCCGTGTCTGGCAGGTAAGGAGGGGGGATACCTAGCAGGTTTGTGAGAAGGTCACTCGTCAGTTCACAGATGACTCCCCCTGCACGACAGACTGCCCCGACCTCTCAACCCTGCCTTCCTACTTCCTCCTCTCAAGAGGACTCTGGTTTCACGTGCCACAAAGCTAGGGGCAGCAGAAATGAGCGAGATGGCCTTTCCCTGATCTCTCGGCCAGTAGGAAGGCAACTCACACAGGGTCCCCGATCTGCTCAAGCAGGAAGGAGAAATCTAGTTCCAAAGTGATATACAGTCAGTTAGGAGAGGCTGGGTGGACTTTTCCATCACTCCACGCTGCCCAGAAGTAGGGCTGCCTCCAGACAGACTAAATTCCTTAATCCTTTGAGGCGTTCTAGCCAAGGCTGGAAGACCTCTGCAAACTATTCGAGAAAGAATGGAGAATGCTATGATTTCTCATACCCCCCCGTCTACAGGGGCAGCAACAGCTGCACTCCGGTCCCTTTCCTTGAGTCAGTAAAATCCCCAGGGAGGAGGGTATCTCAGGTCTGGGGATGAGGTGTTTCCACTGGACACCATCAGAGTTATCTTCCTGTCCCCTACTAGCTATGTGACCTTGGGAAAGTCACTCGGCTTCTCCAGGCCTCAGTTTCCTCTTTTGTAAAACGAACGTAATAATGGCACCTACTCCATACAGTATTTTGAGGTTTAAGGAAGTCAGCTCACACGAAATACTTCCTGTCTGGCACATGGCAAGTACTCAATAAAAGATTGTGATCTAATCTTTAATACATCCCTCTCAGAGCCCCAGCCTACTTTCAGTTTTTATTCTCCAAGCCGGGCACCAAGAAATGAAATAATGCTGTCTTCTGCCCTTAGCTACGTGTAACCTGTGTCCATCTCCTCTGAAGGATAGACTGAAACATAAGCCAGACACTCACTCCACACACAACCTCCTCCAGCCCAGGCAGTTTCATACTCGTTTACGCAAGCTCATCCTCACAGAGACTATGGAAAAGAGGCAAGAAAGTAAAGCACGAGGCTCAGAAGGCACCACAGAGAAGGAATCGTGTCCGTCTATCTGGGGCTGAGGGAACTCACAGGGTCCCAGGGACAGTCCAGGGTTGAGGGAAAAGTAGGCTTCAGTCTCTGACACCAACAGTTTTTCAACACTACCATCCGTTTGTCATGACCGAAAAGAACCACGAAACTAAACCCAGGCGATAATTTTTTTTTCCCATTTCAACACCAATGAATGGTAAGTCTGTGAAAGCTAAGTATTATGGAACACTTCTGCCTTCACTGACTCATTAATAAAGACTACCCTTTAAAATGGCAAGATACGGGCGCCTGGGGGGCTCAGCAGGTTAAGCGCCCCACTTCGGCTCAGGTCGTGATCTCACGGTTCACGGGTTCAAGCCCCGTGTCGGGTTCTGTGCTGAGAGCTCGGAGCCTGGCGCTTGCTTTCGATTCTGTGTCTCCCTCGCTCTCTGCCCCACCCCCCCCACCCGCTCCCACGCTGTCTCTATCTCTCAAAAGTAAACATATAAATAAATAAATAAATAAATAAATAAATAAATAAATAAATAAATAAATAAAATGGCAAGATAGAGCGATTCTACTGTTTAAACTGTGAATTGTACCTTTCCCTTTGCAGAAGGAATGGGAAACAGGCCTCAGGCACTCAGAAGCAAGTTCCTCGATGTAACTCTTTGAAGCTGTAGTGTCCATACATAATCCTAGCCTGTCTTCACTTAGCACAAGGAATGAACTAAACACATCTGTGGTGAAGAATACAGGAAAACAAACACACACCTCATATTTAGTCTAACTACTGGGTGGGCAGAGAAGGAGGCAGGGGAGAGGCAGAGCTGTAAGAAAAGCATCTGGTTTATTAAAAAGTCACGGTTTTACAGTATTGAAGAAATGCAATAGTGTTTCACTACCTGGTAACTACAGCTCCTCAAGTCTTGCTAAAGTTCCCTACAACAGGCCTTTAAAAAACATTAAATGTAGTTTCTAAGAAGCGGGAGACTGATGTCAGCATCATGGTGGCTAAGATGTTCCTCCTTTTAGCCCCCTTTTTTCAGTAACAAATTACACGTCCATGCACAAAGGCCCCTTGGTGGGTGTTGGAAATCATTAAAAAAGAACCCAACAGAAATTCTGCTGCTGAAGAGCTCGGTGAGTAAAATGAAAAATGCAATGGGTGGGCGGGGGGCGGTGTGCCTGGGTGGTTCAGTCGGTTGAGCATCTGACTCTCGGCTCAGGTCACGATCCCAGGGTCATAGGATTAAGCCCTGCAACTAGCTCTGAGCTGAGCATGGACCCTGCTTAAGATTCTCTCTTTCTCCCTCTGCCCTCTCCCCCACTTGACCATGTGCTTTCTCTCTCTCTCTAAAAAGAAAAATGCAACAGAGCATCTGCAGTAAGGAGGACGGAGGCCAGAAAACGTGGGCTAGAGGTGAGGATTCTCAAACAACCCAGTTAGGGGAGGACAAGGAGGAGAGAATGAAGAGTGAAGAAAGCCTAAGTGATCAATAGGATTCCTTCAAAAGAACAAATACTGGAAAACCTGGAGTTTCAGAAAGAGAGAGAGGAAGGAGCACAAAATTATTTAAAGAAATAATAGCTGAGGATTTCCCAAGCCTGGGGAGAGATTGGGACATCCGACGTCACAAAGCAAACAGATCACCCTATTATCTCAATAAAAAAAGACACATTACAAATGAAACTGTCAAAACTTAAGGACGAAAGGAAGAACTCTAAAAGCAGACAGGGGAAAAAGCACTGTAACCTTCAAAGGAACCCCATTAGGCTATCCAGGGATTAATGCAAAAAGACACATTACAAATGAAACTGTCAAAACTTAAGGACGAGAGGAAGGACTCTAAAAGCAGCCAGGGGAAAAAGCACAGTAACCTTCAAAGGAACCCCATTAGGCTATTGAGGGATTTGGGACTTACCCCTCACAGGCCAGGAAAATCTTTCAACTGAGGAATGGACAAAGAAAGTGTGGTGTATGTATATACAATGGAATATTATTCATCCACGAAAAAGAAAGTAATCCTGCCATTTGTAACAACACGGTTGGATCTAGACGGCATCACGCTAAGTGAGATCACTCAGAAAGAGAAAGACAAATACTGCACAATCTCACTTGTATGTGGAATCTAAAAAAGCCAAACTCATAAACAGAGAGTTAAATGGTTCTTAGCAGACGCTGGGGGTGGGGGAACTGGGGAGACGTTGTTTAGGGCACAAACTTGGAACTAGGGGATAAATAAGTCCTGGAGAACCAATGCACAGCTTCCTGATTATCAGCCACACTGTATTATGAACTTCACAGCTGCTGAAACAGAATCACATGGGGGTTTACTGAAAGCTGAGAAAGTAACATTCTAATACTTACAAGTGGTTTATTCCTTTATGCAGCAGGGAAGTTTTCTCCATGCTCTCACAGGATAAACTCACTTAAAAATAGAAATCATGGGGGGGGCGCCTGGGTGGCGCAGTCGGTTGAGCGTCCGACTTCAATGAGTCACGATCTACCATGATCCCGGGGTTGACCCCGGCGTCCAGAGCTCTGGCTGATGGCTCTCAGGGCCTGGAGCCACATTCTGTGTCTCTTTCCCTCTCTCTCTGCCTCCCGTTCCGCCTCTGTCTCTGTAAAAAAAAACCAAATAGCGTTGAAAAAAAAATTTTTTAAATAGAAATCATGAAAACATAAACTATAGGCCATGCTTCTCCTTATTATCATTAAGTCCAGCACTTTGGGGTTGCTGGGGTCAGAGATTTTTAATTCACACTTTATTATGTGATCTCACACGGACTTGAAATTTCAACTTTCTGACAGAATGTCACCTTAAAAGAATGGTTATTAATTGAAAGATCAGGGGCGCCTGGGTGGCGCAGTCGGTTGAGCGTCCGACTTCAGCCAGGTCACGATCTACCGCGGTCCCTGAGTTCCAGGCCCGCGTCAGGCTCTGGGCTGATGGCACAGTAAACAGAGCCTGGGCCTGTTCAATTCTGTGTCTCCCTCTCTCTGCCCCTCCCCCATTCTGTGCTCTGTCTCCCAAAATAAATGAAATGTTGAAAAAAAAAAAAAAAAAAAAAAAAAAAAAAAAGATCAACTTGTTTTTTAAGGTTTATTTATTTTTTGAGAGAGACAGAAAGAGAGAGTACAAGCAGGGGAGGAGCAGAGAGAGGGAGACACAGAATCCAAAGCAGGCTCCAGGCTCTGAGCTATCAGCACAGAGCCCAACGCAGGGTTTGAACTCACGGACCGCGAGATCATGACCTGAGCCGAAGTTGGACGCTTAACCAACTGAGCCATCTAGGCACCCCGAAAGATCAACTTTTTAATATTTTTTTCAAAACTGCACAGTACAGACCTGGTG